TCCACATCCACACCCACACCCACACGCACACCCACACCCACACCCACATCCAGACCCACAGCCACAGCCACACTCCACACCCACACCCACACCCACACCCACACCCACACCCACACCCTCACCCACACCCACACCCTGCAAAGCGAATAGAATATGTGAAGAAAAATATTATGAGAAATATTTATCCTTCATTTGATTTTTGATCATCTAATCAATCTACCTATCTTTGTTTGAAGTTAGCAGAATAAGTGAAGAGAACTATGATGAGAAATATTCATTTGTTATCTGACCATCAATCATCTAATCACTCTCGTTATCGTTGCTTTTGGGATGAGAAAATGAGTGAACAGATCCATTGGTGAATGTTTATTCAACATCTTCTTGCTTTTTTTCATCAATCTTTGTCGTGTAGCTTTGCTTGAAAGTGGAAATAATAGACAAATGGAAGTTCTATTGATAACATCTATTTATTATATAATCTTAAATGAACTGATTAATCCACTTGTTTTTATTTCAAATATGAAAATACGAGAACAAAACACGATCATTAAAATTATTCATTATTCATCAGATTATCAATAAGTTGTTCAAATTTGCAATCTACAGTTCGAGGGTTACGGTAACGTGAATAAAATGATTTATGCAGCTGTGGATCAAACAAATGAAGTTAATAGTGATAATCAATTATTGACTTTCTGATTGACTTTACTGGATAAAATCTTGTTTTTTTAATATTTGAAATTAAAAAGAGTGATTGGAAGTTTCTATAATGTTATTCACAATGCATATAATAAAAGCGATTAAAGAATCAAAGAAATGCGTTCATCTAAAGTGTCTACTTAGAATTTTGCAAGAATTCAATAGCATTTCTGTCTAGCACTTGCTAGTCGTTGGCCAGAAGTATTATAAAATTTTATTATTAGTCAAATCAAGTGTTAGATAAGATAGAATACAGTAACAGTGTGCCTACTACAAGATTCTCTAATTTTCATCAGAATTCTAAGTTTATGTTTTATCACATATAAATTTAAGTGGTAAGAGTTCTATATGAATCAATAATTGGGAACGACTGGAATCCACGAATCTCCGAATTTTGAGCTCATGAAACATAATCACTAGTTTACAATAATCAGAACCAATGGAATTCTGGAATTATCACAATTACAGAATAACTAGAATTACGAAGCTTAGGAATTTTCACAATTTCAGAATAATCTATACCTACTGGTAATCATAACATATAAACGAGCTATAGTCACTGCAGTTGTCGCCACGAAGAAAAACATATTAATTGTAAGATCAAGAGTGTAAACAGTTGAACTTTCATTCGCTGAGTTCTAAAACCATCGATACATTAGAAGATCCGGGATCTTCTATTATGTCCTTTAAAAAAGTTATAGTTTTTAGCAGCCCATGTTCTTAAAATCGGTAAAAAATTGGCGATTAATCGCGATATATCGAAACGATAATCGTGCGCTTAAACGCGATAAATCGCCGTTTTTTCTGATTAATCGTAATTTTATAGTCGACTTTTATTTGCGATAAATCGCGATTTTATAATCGATTTTTGCTTTCTATTCATCGATGTTCTATGCAATTTCATGCATATGTATTTAGGTTTTTCTTATCACATCGAAAACTTTTTATTATTGATTTAATTCTATGGATATTTTTATTAAAAAAAAATGAACACTTACATTATTTTGCATGAACCAATTATGTAATAAGAACAGAAATAAAAACGCGAAGCGCAATTTTACATAGTTAGACAGGAGGATATTTGAAAAAAAAATGGAAAAATCTAATGAAACGTTCATATGCAGTAATTGATCTTTTAAATCGAATTTTCTTTGAAAAAGATTCGAAGTGTATTTGCTCTGTTCATAAGTGAAAAATCTAAGAAAGAGAAAATGACTGAACCAACTGTATATTAATGAAAAAGAATTTCATGCTCAGCCGACTATAATTTACTCGAGAAAATCTACTACTGAAAATTCTACAAAACTAAATTTAGAAATTCAGTCAAAATGAAGAATCAATCCAATAAAAATATACAATTCCATAGAGAAATGAATGCTACATTCAGTCAAATAAAAAAAAAAAAACTTCTAAAATTTTGCAGAAATACAGTCAAGTAAATAAAACTATTAAAAACAAGTGAAGCATCTTGTAGAATCTACAAATGAACTTTGATATTTGTTTTTTTTCAAGCGAGAGTCAATCTGTTAACAGATGATTTTGTATGGTTCGGAATTCTCATAAAATGCATCACCGCTGACTACATCAAAGTAGGAGTTCGAAGTTACGTGCAAGTTCCTAATGGTGATATTGCTGTCAGTGTAACTCTATATGATTTGTATATCAAATCCACATAGTTATGAAAGTTAGGTTGATATAGATTGGAAAGAAGACCTCAACCGTATCAGGTTTGCCGGTGATTGTTCCAAACAGTGTCAGCAAACTAATTGACTGACTCTAATGGCTATCAATGAAAAGATGCTTGTCGACAAACGAGTAGATATTTAAAAGTGATTAATCAAACCATTTAAGACAAAAGTGACTGTTTGATTGAAAACAAAATGAATATGAAATATGTCCTGTTCTTACGTATTAAAATAGGTGAACGAATATTCATGTGATTAGTTCACAAATCGTTGATTTTTTTGAAATGTTATTCGATTTACATTCTACCGATTTTAAGTTTTGAGAATCAACAGGAAAGAAAAAATGAAATACAATTCATACTGTTTGAACGATGTCAATACAAATCTTAATTTGAACAAAAATGCATTTGTTAAATTTAAACTTTTCATTGCGTTACAATCAATTTTTAGATAATTATCGATCTGTGTTCAAATCAAGGATTTCATTCTCATTCTGTTAACATGCGTGCCTTATGATGATTTAACTACAGGGTGACGCAAAAGTCACTTTACCCAAAAAAAATTGAATATCTCCTTTATAGGTCAAGTAAATGAGCTGATTTTTTTATCAATGATAGAGACATGTTCACGCTTTATATCCATAAAGGCATGCCTAGCGAGACTCTTTGTTAAGTATCACTATTGACCTCAACAAGAAAAATTTACTTTTCACAGTTAGAAAAAAAAGTTACTTTGTCGAAAAAAATTGAATATCTCCACCAGAGATGAGCGAGCCGCGGTGTAAAACCGCCCTGTCCCGCCCCGCCCCGCCCCACCCCGCCGGCGGGGCGGTGCTAAAACTTGACGGGGCGGGGCGGTGACGGTGCATGACGAAATTTCGCGGTTTCCCCGCCTTTGTATAACCTTGATTTTTTAAATATACTCAGACCTTTAGAGACATCTTTTTAAAATTTTAAAATCTTTTCACAAAACTAATCAGTAAAAAAAGACTTGTTAGCGCAGCTCCAGAGGAGCTAAAATGTGGAACTCACACATATTTTTTTAATTTTTTGTCCTGATGCCTTATTTTTAAATTGTAAAATACCTTTTTTCCGAATACGTATGAAATCATTGATATATTATATAAAAACTAGAGCCTTTTATGCGCTGCTGAGGTCTGTAATGATGGGGGTCAGGGTTACCAGATCGAAAATTAAAAAATCAGAAAAATTTTTCTAAAAATTGGGAAAGTCGGAATTTTTGTTCTCGAAATCGGAAGAAAATCAGAAAGTATTTTTCCATGCTTAAATAACTAGTCTATATATTTTCGATAGCTTCAATATCCTTTATCTTGCTTCTGTTCATCTTTTCGAAGCAATATCAGAAATGATATTTCATAAAGAATTAAAGAAAATATCGATTACACAATTTACTCATGATTGAGAAATCTACATAAGTAATTTGAACAGGATCACATTATTTTTATCAAAAATGCTATAACCAACTTGACGAAACAATAGAATCAGTATTGTAAATTCATACACACACATGCATTTTACAAAACTTATGCAAAACAAAACTAAGACTTATTCTGTATAATGTTCGTTTTTGTTCATACTTTTTTATTAGCTCGAATACTCTTCAAAATATCAGATTGAGGTAACAGATATTCATAAAAATGTCCACAAGTATAAACAGAACTCATTCCGATTTTCAATTCTGCAACAGCTAAATTAGTACCCATACGATTATGATTAGTTTTATGATATCTGTGATGAAACAAAAAAAGCTCAGAAACGAAAATATTCTTAATTAACACTATAGTAAACGAACAGAGAAAGTTAGTTCATCGTGATAGAAAGCTGGATCTTAATTGTCTGTAAAACATCATAGTTTTATTGGAGGATATGCTTTCAAATCACTGCAGTGTGGTTTGTTGAGTTCATGACGCTTCACTACCCGATAACTATGGTGAAATAGATCGCTATATGTGTGGTGTCATGTCATGGTTAAACTATTCTAGAATGTCCTAAGAACTTGAATTCCCAAATAAGACTTCGAAAACCGGAGAAAAATTAGGAAATCTGAAGGCGATCGGAAAAATATGTTAAAATCGGAAAAATCGGAACGTCGGGAAGTCGTTGGAGAAACTTTTAAAAAATCGCAATTTTTCCTGCCGTATCGGAAGATCTGGCAACCCTGAGTGGAGTGTCTGTAATGGAGTGGGGGAAGGGAGAGAGCCGCCAAACCTCGAACTTATAACTTACAATCACTATTTTATTCGAAAATATACGTGAGTTCCACAAAATGAGTGACTGTATTATAATTGCCTTTCATTTTCATATATTTATTTTTTTCTATTTCGGAACGATGTTTATGCATTTAAAATATGCCTCTTCATCTCATGAAATGAAATAGCCATTATCAAATTTAATGAAAAATTTGTCAATAAATAGTTTTTTAAAACATATTTTTGACGGGGTGGGGTGGGGCGGTGGCGGTTTCAATGCTAAACAGGCGGGGCGGTGGCGGTGCGGAACGTTATCGGCGGTGCGGGACGGGGCAGTGACGGTGCGACTTTTTTGCTGACTCGCTCATCTCTGATCTCCACTACAGCTCAAGCTAACGGGGTGATTCTTTTATCAATGGTAGAGGTGTGTTCATGCTTTATATTCATAAAGATATGCCTAGAGAGACCCTCTGTTAAGTATACTGTTTATGGGTGTGGCGTGGGTGTGGGTGAGGTGTGTGGGTGTGGGTGTTGGTGTGTGGGTGTCGGTGTGGGTGTGGGTGTATGGGTGTGTGGGTTTGGGTGTGAGTGTGGGTGGGGTGTGGGTGGGTGTGGGTGTGGACGTGGAATTCTTCCAAAAACTACACCCACACCCTTTCAACACCGTGATTTGGTAGAAATCAATTTTGAACAAATCATCGGACTTTTACGTGAAGTCATCTTGTTACTGGGTAACATTCGAGTTCATTGGGGAAGTTTAGTTCATTTTTTTTCCGAAATATCTGTTCGTATTCGGATCGCTGCAAATGAAACGCTAGTGCCGTTTGCCGATCGTATGAAAGTACCGCCGTCGTTCATGGATACAAAAGAATCTGAACGGGCATTCTACGTTGATTTACTCAAAGGATTAGCATTTGGTATCCGTCGGCACACCTATATTCTCTATTTAACATCTCGAACCTACGTTGATATTTCAAACGAGTTCATGATGGACAAGCTGAGTAGATTGTCAAGGATGCTTGAAATGCAGACTGATATGGAACGAGAACAAGCTCTGAACCAGCTGCTAAAGGATACAGAGGAAGCACAAAACAAAGTGCAAGCGTTGACAGACGAACGAAACAGAACATTTGAAGAAATAGTATTGAAACGACAAAATGAATTATAGCAGTATATTGAATATCTTGGTGGTAAAACACAAGGTGATTTAGATGCAGTCAAAAAAGGAACTGAATTATTAAAACTCCTGTAGTAAACTTCTCTCATATTCGTTTCATACAGACGTAGCCGTGAAATTTTAAGCTATATATTTATGAAAACACATTTTTGAACTCTTATGTTCATAAATAAATTTTCAGCATCACCACTCGAACATATTAGCAAAGTCGAAAATAAAACAGTGCTGTACTGAGAAAGATATGTTTAACATGAAGTGCAGACAGGAAGTTTTTGAAAACAAGCTTGAGAAAGTCGGACAATGACAGAAGACAAGTGTTCACATAATTCAAAGTTTTTTTACTCACTCTTTAAAACTTTCTTAGCTTGAAAACTATCGATTTTGGATCTCGGTACATTAAAAACTCGATAATAATTCGTTTCAAAGAAGAACAGGACGCGACTGGGCTCCTTAACCAAGAGTCGAAATGTCTCGACTTTTTCTTTGAATCTAATTAGTGGGTGTGGGTGTGGGTGTGGGTGTGGGGGG